TCTCCTTGCAACAAAGAGATCCTAACTAAAGCTTGTTCCACAACCTCCTTTACACTTTACTTTAAGCAGCTTCCTCTGTTTCTAATAACGTACACTGTGTACACACACATTTGCAAGGCCAAGATTAAATACAAGCCCATACACCAGTGAGAAAACTTAATGCCTGCCTCTGAAACAAAATAAACGCAGTCACATGGACGGTGTGCTGGCGCTGCCGTATTGGGTTTGAATTGTCCCTTGGATCACAGACAGCCTCCGTCAATACCAGACGTTACAATGCTTTACGACCTTTTATCACCAATGGCTTGTTGACACAATAACAGAGAGCAAACCAACTTGAATCCCATTGCTGGGCACAGACAGTGAGTCAGCCCCTCGCAGCCTTCAACTTCCATCCCACAAGGGTCCACCATTGCCAGAAGCCACTCCTGCTCTCAGAAAGCTGCAAGGGCCAGACGGCTCCAGCAAATTCAGGGGTGAGCAGACATCCTGCAGTGACCCTGATGGCCACAGACAAGTGACAAAGGTCAGGGTCAACTGCGGTTAATCGTGGTGACTCTGAGTGCAGGTACTGGTAAGAGCAAAAGCAAACCAGGAAAAGACTACCCAAGTCTGCCTCGACCTGGCTGGAAAGGGGCTGAAATCCTGCAAAGCCCTGGGAACGAGAGGTTCTTTGCTCCCGATGCTGGGGCGCAGGAGAAGCACAGCTCCCCTGCTCCAGCACAGCTCTGCCTGCAGTGGTACCCAGCGCGGGGCGTGAAGGATGCGCGCGTCCCCTCCTGGCTCCCTCCTCCGCGCCTCTTACCATGCTGCTGTGGCCCACGGGTTTTCCAAGCTCAAACTCTTTCAGCCTCTGCCAGCACGACCACGAATACTCAGCGCCTTCCCAACCCGTTCACAACGCCCCTGAGGAAGGAAGGGGTGCTCTCTGGCTTCATCTCTGCAGTGCCACAGGCTGGCACCTCAACCCTCACTTGTTAATTTCATTTGATTACCTTATCCTATACATATATAATTTATTTTTTTTTTAACCCCAAAGGCTCAACCTTCAGCATTAGCACTCCCCCGGAGAAACACGCTGACCTCCCACCCACCTTTCTGGCACTTCACCACCTCCCTGCGCGGGGACCCGGCGGTTCCCACCTCTCGGTGCTTTGCCCACCACCAGCTCCCCAAATCCCGCAGCCCCCGGGGCTCCCCCGCCCTGGTGCCCGGCCGCACTCCCGGCCCCGCCGGCTGAATTCCGCCCGGTGCCGGCCCGGGACTGCCCCGACGGGGACACGAAGGATTTGGGCTGCCGGGGGGGGGGGGCCTGCGGTGTGGGATCTGCAGGCAGGGCAGGGCTGGGACCGGCCCCGGGACCACCCCAAGCCCGAAAGCCGTAGCCCAGGGCTAAACCGGGGAGGGCGAGCGGCCGGCGGGGCCCCGCGGCGTGCCCGGCCCCGGCCCCCGGAGCGCCCCCTCCAGCCCGGGACGAGCACCCAGGGGGGAACCACATCGAGCCCCGGGACCCCCCCGGGACTCCCCCGGGTCCCCACCGCGTTCCGCTTCCCGTAACCCCCCCCGACGGCTGCACGGCCCCGGGAGAACCGGAGCGCACCGGGACCCCCCGGCACTTACCGGCAGCGCCCGCTCCGCACCCCCGGGGACTCTCCTCGTCGGGATGGGGGGGATGAAGGGGGGCGAAGGGACCTCGGCGGGGGGGTGGCGGGCAGCGGGCGGGGGGCAGCGGGCACGGCGCGCCCTGCTCCCTCCCGCGGCCCCGCCCTCACCTGCCCAGGTGCGCCCGGCGCAGCCGCACCGCCCCGGCCCGCCCCCGGCCGCGGGGGGGGCCCCGCGCCGCTCCCCGCCCTCCCTTCCCCCCGGTTTTGGTAGGGGAATAGGGTACAAAAAAAGTGCTTCTTCATATTTCTGGGGTTGCAAAAAATATATATTTTTTGTTATTATTATTTTTTACCAAAAAAAAAAAAGGTTTCCTAATTTTTTTTTTTTTCCGCAGCGCAAAACCTACCTGGCCCAGCAGATCCATCCATCAAGTTTTAGGGCAAAATGTAAAGCCGGGTGTGATTACTGCACAACCATGGGCACGCCGCACAAATGTTCCTCCTCTCGCCTCGTCCCTGCCCGCACAGCCCCCGCGGACACCCCGCGTCTTGCCTTTCAGGGCTCGTCCCCGTAGGTGGGGAGCCGTGACTCAGTGGTGAATCTTGGTTTCAAGGGATCAAATAATTCACTATGCGGTTTCAACGAAGTGGAAAAAACAGTGGGAATTTCCCTTCTACTCATGGACACCCTGGATAGTGCTGAGTCCTGATTTAGGAAAGGCTAACCTACAGCCAGCGCTTAATCCTACACCGGGGGGTTGGAATTATGAATCCAAAACGCTGAAAATCTTCACACAAGCGGAAAATGTAACTGCATTTTTTCTTGGAAAGTGTGCCTTGCGAGGTGCCAAGTGCCAGGTAAACATCTCAGCCTTCATTCATTGCTGAAGTGTAGCCACTTGGAGGTAACATTGAGCAGGAGTTTGTCAGCAGTGTAACAAAATCTGTCTGGCAATAAACACAAACAGTAGGCGAGACTCTAAAGCTGGCATTTCCTTCGTGGGAAAGAAGAAAATTTGGTGCTGCTTTGGTGAATTTTAGATGTGTTGGGCTAGTTCTACCTGACCATTTTTGATCTGGAAGGCGAGGGACGGCTGCTCCTGTAATAATAACACCTTTGCCACGTCGCAATTCCTGCTGCAGAAAAATGTGCGAAGGAATGGCAGCTCGGTGAGCAGCTGAGAGGAGACGCGCGGAGGCATCGGGCTGAAATCCCAGCCAAAGTCTGAGGGATCTTTGATCTATCCCCAAGTGGCCAGCACAGAAGCTGCCGTACATCCGCCCTGCATTCCTGCTGTCCGCACGTCTGTCCTGCTGGCGACAGGAGAATGTCGGGGTGTTGCAGGTTTGCTTTCCCCTGTGGCCAGATGCTCAGGGAGCCTTGGAAGCAGCACTGGGCAGAGCTCAGCTCCTTCTAGGCCTGCCCTGAGGACACTTCAGCTTGCCCAGCCCACTGAGAGCGGTCTCGGGGGAGATAAGGGCTGGTGAGTTTAACAGAAGGGAACAAGGTGGCTTGGCTACACAAGGGCTGCTGCAGCGGGGGCAAAGAACTCAATTTGCCTCCTGTCTCATTAAAGCCGGTCCCTTGGGAGCGGGCAGCTGTGCCCGCCTGCACCCTGCCTCCTTCCTCCAGCCTCTGCTGAATGGCAATGCAGATGCCAAGCCAATGAGTCTTCCCAGCCCTCTGCAGGGCTTTTTTTTTTTTTTTTTTATTGAGTTTCTACCAGCCGTTGCCGAAGCATGTGGCAGCATGTTGTGTTGGTGAGCTGACGGGAAATAAGCCGTCTCTTTTTCCATCCTCTTGGCTGGGAAACTGCAGCTTTTAAACTGTATAGGTGATAATGTAGGGATAGCTTGCTAGGCAGGACACGTAACCAGATATTACCTGTTTGCAACTAATCATCCAGTGCTCTTTGGGTGTAATATTCTGTTAGTATGTATCGCCTTAAAAAGCATTGATCCTAAACCTCCAAGGAGCCAAATAGCACCAACCTCTTTATTCTTTTTATTTTTATTATTGTTAATTATCTCTGCTTATATTTACCCCTACTTGCATCTATTTTTAACATCATATAAAGAACTCATTTAGTTGATAAACTGTACATCATAAAGTGATGTTCTGCTGGCTAGGAGACAGCAGCTCTATCAGCAGTCTGCAGACTACGCACTTAGGACAATGAGAGTGTATGCAGAGGAATTTTCTTACCAGGAGCTATGGGATTTAATTTCAGTGCCAAAAACCATCAGCACTTTTATTAACGTGATTGTATGTCATGATACCAGCAATAGCACCAGTTAGACTCTGTAACTCAAGTCTCTTTCAGTCCTTTGTTCCTAGCTGAAAAAGATTGTAGTCATCAAAACAAAGAGGAACCATTTTCTCTCCTGGGAACAGATCGCTGAGTTCCCATAAGGCAAAACAAAATTATGCAATGAGGCAACATAATGTCCCAGGCATGCAGAGTCTTGTTCCATGCTCCCAGCGCTCACATTCCAGCCTGCAGCCGCGGCGCAGGAGCGCAGCACAAAATGGTGGAAGGCTCCGCACCAGCGTGCAAAACGTGCGGAGCCCTCCCTGCCTGCACCCCAGCAGAAGCTCCTCCGCTTCTTGAAAGCTGTTTGTCACCCGGGTAGGGAAGCCGTGACCTCGCCAGTGTCAGGCAAAATGAAAAAAATATCGAGGGGAAAAAGCCCTTCGTACGGTAAAGGCAACTGAGCACGGGGAAATGGAAAATGCAACAAAACAAATACGACAGTAACAGTAGTTGGCAAAGACTTCCTTCTAGGAGGCCTAGCTGAAAGGCAAACACCAGTGGGTAGACGCAGTGTGACTTCTCGATGAGCCAGATATCACGCTGCTCTGCGGCATACAGGTTATCTATTCAGGGGTTGAAGTTTGTCTGCAGCAGTTGTAAAAGGAAGGATTAAGCTTATTGATCCTGTTACATTCTTCTAGGTCCAGAGAGGGAAAAATGCAATTCCTCCAACTTATCAGGTCTACATAAATAATCTGTTTTCATTAAAAGAGAAGAGCTTAACCTTCCTGATAGTTCTCTTGGTCTTCTCTATCTATCGTTATTTCTGCTGTATAGCTTTTATCTCTTCTTGCTTAAGACTCTTAAGTGAATCCGTCCATTGCCAAGGCACACTTAGATATGAAGAAGAGAAGCATAAAGTTGGGCTATGTTCCAGCAAATCTGTGTGCATATTTTTTTATATCTATATTTACACTTATTGATAGGGTGCTTAGAAGCATAAGCAGATCCAGAGAAAACATTATTCCAGACACGAAACTACTTCTGTAGTAGCATTTTTGAGATGACTCTTAACCTGTGATTTTCCAAATTAGAAACTCTTCTTTCCAAAACAATCTATGTCTAAAAAAGAACAGCTTAAATCCTGGTGGTCTTTAGCATTATTACAATGGGGAGACCATTGTTTCCCATTAACACTACTCCAATCCTCTTAAAAGGAGAATCCTATCTGCACATCAGCCTGGCTCAGGCACATTTATAGCTACAGGTCATTTCTTTCCAGCTGACACAGATAAATGGTTGGACTCGGAACACCTGGTATGATGTGGGTAAAAGCTGGTGGCTCCAGCAGGAAGGGTGAACAGGAGGTTTTGTGTAGGGAGTGGGATCTTTGGTAGTGAATGGTTCTGTATAGCCCCATACCAGGCTTCTTTGGTAAGCAAGTACCCAATTAAAAGAGGCTCTTGTTAGAGCTGTGTTTCTGCCTGAATCTAATAGGTAGAAGTACCTTAACAGAAAAAGGCACAAAAATAAAGAAACCTCAACTTTGGGTGTGAGTACATAGAAATTAAAGCTACCTGTACCTATCAGCTGAGAATTTCAGTAATGAAATATGAAAAGCAGACAAATAAGCACCTCTGCCTCCATGTGCACTTAATTATTTTCTCTATTATTTTGTACAGAATAAAGTCTGTGGAACTTGCTCAATTTACATTATATACTGGTAGTCCTATTAGCAGTTTTTCCTTATGTAAGTGGAGTTGTATGTGCTTATTTTTATCAGGATTTCCTCTTACTAAATGTTGTTTGTTAATATACCCTATTTCACTCAAACATTGGTGCATCCCCTACAAACAGGTGGCATATACCTTTATCAGAGAAACTGTTAGGAATCTTGCTTGCTGTACTTTTTTTCTTCTTTAAGAAAAACAATGATGAAGAAAGCAGGGTTATAGGTGATGTGTAAAGGGAAGCTCAGCTCCCAAATGAAGGTATTAATGTGCAGAAGTGCCCTGAGCCTCTGGAGTCTGCTTCTAAATAGGGCACAGCCCAGAACATCTGAAGGTCTCTGTGACCCATGGGTGGGAATCTCCTAATGATCTTAGTTATTTTTATATGTCTGCTACCACGTGTTATTCTTCCCTAATGAAGAGAAGCAACCCTACCATCACCAAGTGAGCACACAAAGCTGTGGAGGTGAATGCAGCCTGTAGAAGGAGGAAGAATAAATTAAAGGACAAAATATCAAATAAAGGCACAAAACAGCAAGAAGCAAAAAAGAGGGAAAGCAACTAAGTGTTAAAAGGACGATACAAGCAAAGGACTTTGGATTTTCTTTTTGTTCCTTTTCTCTGCCTTCTGATTTACGGAGCACAATGGGACAGCAGTTCACCAATGCGGAAGGGGAGCAAGCAGAGATTGATGTTGCTGAATTGCAGGAATGGTATAAGAAATTTGTGGTTGAATGTCCCAGTGGGACTCTCTTCATGCATGAATTCAAGAGGTTCTTTGGGGTCCAGGATAACCGAGAAGCAGCAGAGTATATTGAAAACATGTTCAGAGCTTTTGATAAGAATGGGGTAAGTAGCTAAGGAGTTTTTACGTGGATTTGTCACCGCCTTTTCCTTCTGTAAGCTGGAGGTCTTTCAGTGCAGTTCCCACCCTCCTTACTGTGCTTCATGAGCAAGGTAAGGGTGATGGGGCTGCTGGAGAAGGAGCACGCTCCTGTGCTCTGTATGGACCGGGGTGGGCTTATCTCATAAATCTATATGCTAAATAAGGACAGAATACTCTTATTCAACTGTTGTGGATGGATTAAAAGGTTTAAGGTTAGGCGGTTATATTTAAGATCATTAAATAGCCAAGCCTGCTAACTGAAAAAAAAAATAATATATATGTATATATATATGTTATGATGGGAGGGGTTACAGTGGAGGAAAGTCCAACTCAGGCTTGATATGCAATGGAGGAAGCACGCATGCATATATGCAGTCAGAACAGGTGGCACGTAACAAAATATTGATTTTAGATACTCAAAAGTAAAGGCATGTTTGCCAGTTCGGACATTCTGGTTTCGACTTGCCAATGCCTCCGGCACCAATCCTCCTCTGCCTCCCCATCCTCCTGTGATCTGTGTTGTCTGTTGTCTCAGGGTGTTTAAACTTAAACTCCTCTCTGGAGTCCTGGCGGGTGCCCCCAAGCACTGCAGGGCAGGAGAGTTGTTTTGCTCTCCACTGTCATGCCTTGGGGACGCCTGGGTGCAGAGAGGCACGGCTGCGCTCGCTGCTGCTCTGCTCCTCTAAATGGCACAGAAATTACTGTCCCCAGGAGTGTCTTTTGGCAGTTTCTAATCCAGGTTTTATTAAGAGATTTCTGTCAGCTGTACACAGTTGTGTCATTCAGATCCTCTTCTGTTTCTTCAGGACAACACCATTGATTTTCTGGAGTATGTGGCTGCCTTGAATCTTGTTTTACGAGGAAAACTGGAACACAAGCTGAGGTGGACGTTCAAAGTGTATGACAAGGATGGGAATGGCTGCATAGACAAACCTGAGCTGCTAGAAATTGTTGAGGTAAGTAGGCATTACCTAATCAGTTATTTAAGCAATCATTCTTTGGCAACATCATGATGCATCCAGTTTTTATGATAACTGGGTTTCAAAGCAGCTAAAGGGTAGTGATGAAGGGAAAATGCCTGACCTTGGTGAAAAGGTCAGTGGTTTGGTGGAGCCTGATGGGGTGAAGGGTCAACTCCCCAACAGTGAGCAGCTGTTGTGGGGTTCCTGTGTCTCTGCTCTGACTTTACTTCCAGACTTCTTACACCAAAATTCTCTGCCCTAGGTAGTGGAAGGTTTCACCCCCTACTCCTTACAGGAGCAAGTTTTCTGCCTGAGCAGTGGACAAGGGCACAGTGGGAGGCATAAATTAGCAAAGGAATTCCATTTGTAATTATTCCTTTCTGGGTTTATGTTTAGTTCTAATTAGTGACTGTGAAGGTGAGAGGAGGCACGAGGTTTGACAGATGGACACCAGGGTTTTTACTGCTATGTAACTTCAGGTAAATACTTTAGTGACTGTACTGGTCACCCCTGCGATGTGGGTGCTGTTACCCTTTCACAGCAGGGTTTGTGAATCAATGGTTATCAAATATTTTAGGATTTGGTGGGAAACACAGAATCAAGAGACATCATCAGAGAATTTGAGTCTACGGAAAGCAAGTTCTTTAGAAAGTCAGCAGCTGGAAAAAAGCAACTAGGTTGTTACCTGCCTCACCAGGGGCAGGTGGGAGAGCATTTGGGGAGCCAGACTGGGGCAGGTTCAATTATAGTTTTGAGGTCAGACAGGAATTGGCCAGAGCTGTGTTAGGCCCTTGCTAATCCCCTCTCTGGGAAGACATCAGACAAAACCCTTCAGCCTAATGAGCAGAGATAATAATGAACAGGTGGTTGTCATGTTTGGATGAGATGGGAGGAACAGATAAAAACCTGCCATTTTCCAGTGGCAAAGTGGAGCGGAAACTGGGGGGTCAAAATGTGTGCTAATACAGGTTTGATCTTGCAGCATTGAGCATGAGCTCCCTGGGAGAGAGGGCTGGGTAAACCCAGGTGTGCCTGGCCTCAGGTCTGCTCAGGCCTTAGAAAAAATTGCACTGAAAACCTTTTTTTCTAACATATGATCTTCTTTTCAGTCTATCTACAAGCTGAAGAAAGTGTGTCGGTCAGAGGTGGAGGAGAGGACTCCGCTGCTCACGCCAGAGGAGGTTGTGGACAGGATATTTCAGTTAGTGGATGAGAACGGAGACGGTAAGGGAATTGATGGCTCAGATTGTATTCATGCATAATGAAAAGTTATCTGTGCTGGGCAGGCTAGTTTTAATTATGTTTATCAAGAAATCACTTAGGATTGTCTTGTTACTCATATTAGACGTGTTGGGTTTGATTCTGGTCTGTTCATGGTCAGAATCAAGAGCAACTTGGTACAACAGGAGGAAATAATATTATTTTAACGTAAAATACCCAGGGCTCACTATTCTTTCTGGATTTTGAGGCTGCATGGATATTGTTCTCTGGAAGTTCCTGGTAGCCACAGAGCAGGTCCCAGCCTGAGTAAAGCCAATGCTCCAGCCAAATCAGAGCCTGCAGGACCAGACTTGCAGTGGAGCTCCTCCTGGAGCTGCATGTGTGAGCCAATGCAACACTTCGTGCTAGCCAAAGGGACAGGGCAGGTGTGAATGGATTGGGTTATGGTGTGGTTATTTGTTTTTTTAGCTAGCTGGCCTATATAGTTTATACGGGGAGATTTAAATATAGCTTTTGTCTTATTAGAATATTGTCTCCTGAACTATAGGAGGTGGTTTTGGCTTCCTGTTGTCCTCTTGTCTTATCTGTCCTGTTCTGTTTCCCCATCTTGTGTCCTCCTCATCTCATACACAGGGCAGCTGTCCCTTGATGAGTTCATTGATGGGGCCAGGAAAGACAAGTGGGTGATGAAGATGTTGCAGATGGATGTAAACCCCGGGGGATGGATCTCGGAGCAGAGGCGGAAGAGTGCTTTGTTTTAAGAGGACCCAGTCTGGACATGACAGAAAGCGTGATGCAGACTACAGCTGTGGCTCTCTTACTCCAGGGCGGTAGTGGCTTTCCTTGTTAATGCAATCTTAGCATCCAAATGAAAACTTCAGTGGTTTAAGAAGCCGTATCTCAATCTAAAACCCGTGCGCTGCAAGGACACCTGGTACCCAGAGACTATTTTTGGCCCATGAATAAGTCTTCCTGTGTACACAACACCATGTTTGCCAGCTCTGGCTTTTGGTTACACCCCAAGGAACAAACTTCTCGTGGCTAACTGCAGTGGATCCTGTGCAGTATCTAACACTGACGACAGAATCAGGAAGTGAGAAATCCTGATGCTGTGGTACCATCTCCAGCACAGAGTAGTGCCTGTGTCGTTAACATCCGCAGGTACAGACATCAAACCAAAAGGGACAAGAATTGAGGTGCTCCGATGGCAGACTTCATGCAGTCAGGAAGTCTGTTCTGTAATACGTACACTGTTTAGTAGATTACTAATAATGTATAATTCTTGAACACTGTTGTATCACTATCAAAGGAGAAATACATTATGAGGGTTTGCATTAGATATAAGTTAAGATTGCACACAGTAGAGGGAAATACAATGTATGGGCTGGGCAGGTGGACCAGTAACTCCTTGTGTCTCCTGCTGTGGACCAGAGTCTGCTCCTTACGCCCACTCAAACAGGTTTCTGTGGGGCTGGAAAAATGGCATTTCCCTGCCAAGCAGCAGTAGGAACTGTACCTCTGAACAGCCACATCTAGAGGACAGATTTGCATGAATGTGATCTGCTTTTTGAGGCCCTGTTTTTTACTGAATCATTGTTTTAAGATAGTTTTCTCTGCTTTGTGAAAACTGGAACAAGCCAGGAGTACCTCCAGGAGTTTCCCTGCAGTGGGAGAAGTTCCCTGTGGAATGAGGATGCAGGAAGAGCTGGGTTTTACTCAGCAGTCTCACCACGATGGCAGGGCTGGTGCTGCTTTGTCAGCAGGACCGTAGGATGAAACCAGTGACAGAAAAATCCAAGTGAGTTACTGAAGTAGTACAGTGGTTTTACACTGGACTTAATTTAGCTATGCTACAGATATAAAATTTGTGCAGCTTGTAGGTTGAGCTTTACTGTTTATACAGCTACCCCATATATCTATATAAGTATGTTTATATGGGAAGAATTTGAGCTGACTAATACTTTCATTCACTTTCATCGGATTTATTGGATTTTTTACAAGAAAATATTTACCTGCAAAATAACATGAGCTTTTCTGTTTTATTTGTCTTCCCTTGGGATCACTGGGCCAAGTCATGTCCGTGAAGAGATTTGCAATCCTTTTTTTTTTTTTTTGTGGCCTTTAATCACAAGAGTTATCTTTCGTTAGGTGATCATTTTGCTGGTTTTGTCAATTTAACCAATGTTTAAATTCCAGACTAGGAGGAAGTATTCAGGGTAGGGCACAATCAGTGCTAGAGTTCAAATGCATATACATTTCCACTTCTAAATAGCCTTTCTGAGAGTTCTCTGTAAATACACTCGCTTGTGGCCTGTCTACTTATCAGAGTAGATTAGACTTCTAGATTTTTTCTGCTGTTCAAAGCTCATTCAATTCAATAGTTTATCAGTCAAAGACCTGAAAGAAAAACCTTGCTTCCGGCTAACATCAGGGCCTGGAAGAAAAGATTTACTTTGCTGATTTTTCAACTCATGGGCCAATGCTTTCACTGATAGGTACAAATCTCTAATTCCCCAAGTTTTAGCATGTCAAGCAATGTAATGCACTTCTCTTCTGCTTCTCACAACTTTTAGTTATATGGAGTTGCATACTGTAGTTTTATGTAAATGTTTTGAATTTCCATTCTCTTCACCAGGCTCTGGAGGAGCTGTCGGGCACCTCCCACACCCGCAGTCCTGTGCCGGGGTGGTAGAGGGCATCCTAACACTGAGCACTCGCGTGGCTGGTGGTAGAAATTTTGTAAGAATTTAATAAAGGATTATTAATTTGTTTTGTAGTGTTTTTGACTCAGAATGAAGCTGAAGGCCTGAGGGGCTACTGTTACGGTTTTTAAGACTGACAAAGTGGATTTAAGGGAAGCGATGGGAGTTGAGTGCAGCAGCTAACCTGGGTAAGAAACATAAGGTGGTGATGGTATTGCATGTAGAGTAGGAAAGGAATCTTTTCTGCTCTGTAATGGCGATGAGAAGCATGCATACGATAAATATCAATTTTCAAAGGAATATCAAATTTCAAAGGAATTTGAAATAGTTGCTTGATGGTGCTGCCGAGAGAGGGCGCCTGTTTTGCCCCTGCCAGGACTGAAAGAGGAACTGCAAAGTTTCGGGCTCAAAGTGAAGCGCTGGGCTCAGACACAAGGCAGCAGCAGTGCCCATGGGGATAACCCTTGTGTTAGAGCTGGCAGAACCCAGTGGAAAATCTCTTACCAATCTTGTGATCTTTTGTCGAGAAAGCACAAGGTGCTTTAGTCTTAGTCCTCTGTTTAAATCCACAGGTATAAACACTTTGATCTCCTCCCAAACCCAACTCGACACTCACATCAAGGTACTGAAGCCAGACCTTCTGCATAATCCATTTTCCAGACTCTCAGCCCAGTGGGAATTGGATTTGACTGATCGGATTTCTTGTTGGTCTAAATGTGGAAACGGGATGGCTCGGAAAGGGCAAATGCCATCTGATTTTCTGAGCTTCTTACCACCTGCACTGATGCTTGATGTACCCAAGGCTGGGGAGGATTGGAGGTGGAATAATCGGGTTAGGAAGCTGAAGGTGAGGCTGCTGCTGAAGGGGGCTGGCTGCGAGGGTCTGGGAGCAAGGAGGCAGCACGTCCTGGGGTGCTCGGGAAGGGACATTCCCAGGGAAGGTGCTGAGCACAGTCCTGGGCAGCAGCAGTAATGAGGCTGAGGAGGAAGGAGGATAATTATCTCACTGTGTTTAGCCATACTCTTTATTTGTTTGACCTTGGTGTCCTGCAAGGAGAGGTTCACCTGTGGGTAGCAGGGTTTGGTGGCTGCCCAGAGGGAGGTTTTGAGTCCAGGTCATCCCCGAAGCACCTGTGTGCAGCTTCCCTTTACAGTGCTGTGTTAAAAACCAGAGCGGCCGTGCCAGGACATCCACAGCCCGGTGCTGCTCGCCCTGGTGGCTTCTTGTGGCCGGCTTCTTGTACCTGGTCATTTTCTCCCCACGCCGGTGCTGAGCTCTGGCTGTATGGGAGAATTACTCACTTCTTTGCTTCCTTTTCAAACCAAAGTGCACCTCAGAAGTTTGGAGTTTCAAATGCATTACCCTTAAAGGCTTCATAGCTAAGGTAATTTAATGGTATTTCGGGATGCGATGTGTGCCATGGGAACACTGGGGCTGTGTTGTAGGGCACGCAGGAGGTCCCGGATCACAGGGGGCACTGCAGGGATGGTGTGGTGCCAGCGCAGGGGCTCAGCGGCCTACCCACCACCAGGGCTCCACAGGGCTGAGCCTTCTCCAGCCCTTGCCAAGTAGACATCTAAACCCCACGGAGATAACTGCGTGGTGCTACCAAAAATCGCTCCCCGAGTATCTCTGGTGTAGCAGTGACTCCTAACAGCCGAGCTCCCAGTGCAGTCCCTGCAAACCGGGGGCAGAGCTGGGCCTTGGCCTCAGACCTGTGCAGCCTCCTGGGCATCGCCCATTGCCCCTCAACACCCGCTCCCCAAAATCGCCACTCCCGCAGTCACTGAGTGAGCAATACTCCTGTGGCAGCTGTTCAGCTGCCAGCCACCATTTTGAAATAAATTCATTAGGCGTGATTAGGGCAGAGAGAGTCACAATATTACTTTTTAATTATTTTTAATTTGCTTTCTTTGAGGCTGAAAAAAAACATCCTTTTGAGAGAGACGCTGAGGTCTGCAAGGTGTCTGGCCAGTCGGCTATTCTGAGGCAGCCCTTTTAGAATAACTTTGTCTCTAGGAGTTTCCCATTAAATAGAAATTGGGCTTGTTGGGGCCTCTTACAGCTTCTTGGGAATGCAGAGGAGAGGGAGGCTGAAGGAGGAGCTGCTGGCGGGGCTCTCTTTCCCTCTGGGCAGAGGACAAGGGCAGGACAGAGCTGTCTTGCAAAAGAACTGTGTAAATGAAGCCAAAACAAAGGTCTCTGCCCTTGCATCAGAGAGTTAATCTGTTCTGCTGGAAGCAGAATGGTTGATTGACAGAAAGAAAAAGCACAACCTGAAATAAACTTGTAAAATATCTTTATTAGGTCACTATAAGATCGGAAGTACAAAAGCTTTCAGGTAAACTGCTGTCAAATGAAAAAGACGCGCAGGAAAAATGGTCAGAAGGTTGCTTACAAACTTCAAGCATCCAGTGATAAGTCACACGTCATTCAGCTGGGCAAGAGCTCCTTCCTGGTGCCCCGTGTTGCCTCACCACGCCTGAAACCAGCTCCCACCAGATGAGGAAACTCCTCGCCAGCCGCCTGGCCCTGGGCGCAGCCCCAGAGGTGGCACGGGGCAATCTCGACCAGCACCATCTGAACTGCTCGGAGACGACTAGGTAAAAACACAGAATGCTTGAGGGTGCCACAGAGCATAACCTGCACGGGAGTTGGTTTGTCATACAAGTAATAAAACATGCAGGAATATTCCTACAAACGCATGTGAAACCAGTCCCTCTCAGGTCACTGCCACTGCAGCCCTTCCAGGTATTTCAGGGAATAGCAAACCCTTAAAGTTGTTTTAAAAAAAAAAAAAAAAGGCACCATTCTCTGTTTTTAATGCTTTAAAACAAAGAAAAGCTGCTGCATTCACCACTCTTCTTTTTCTAGTGATAGATGTTTTTATCTTATAATATCACTAATAATTACTAATATAACAAATCACAGAATGAGTGACCAAAACCACTGGTCTCATTTGCTCTGGGGGAAAGCATTGAGGATGTTCTGGAAATGTGTATGGAAAGAGAAGGTTCAGATCTGCTTTCTAGGCCTCGCACATTCAAATGCTGCCCTGCTCTTAGAGGGGACGCTCACCTCTGCAGAGCTCAGGGCTCTGCAGGCAGATGCGCCCTGTTGCACCACACCACGTCTGTGCCCCGGAGAGGTCCCCATGCAAGAGCAGACCCCTCGTGCCAGCTGAGCTCTGCGTGTCCAGACGCACACGTTATATGGATGCTGGTGTTGGCCACTAGCTCGGTGTAAGTTTTGTCTGCTCTCTTGTTTAATGCACTGCATGCTCTGGCTCTCCCTCCCCAGGGAGGGGAGGCTCTGCACAACTACGCAGCAGCAACATTCAGAGGCACCCGAATAGCGGCGGGTGCTGGTGGCCCCGCAGTGGCTGTGTGTTTCCAGCACTGCAGCTCCCCCTCCTCACCCAGCCCGTCCTGCTGCGGGGTGAGCACGGCTGTGCTCGGGAAGGGATGGCCCAGTTGGTGCCCGGCGTGCCCTGGGTCCTGCCCAGCCCTCTGCCACAGGAGCGATGCCTTCGAGGGGACGCCGGTCCTGTGCTAGCGGGATGCTCTAACGCCTCGTCACGCTGGTGCTGGGCCGCTCCCCACAGTCACAACCTCTTTTGTTTCAATAATGTGAGAAGGGGGGAGAAAAGATGGAGGGAAGGTGTCCTGGAGCCTACTGGGCATCCTCCTCTGCCTCCTCCGAGGCGTGTGGGTTCTTCCCATCGTTCTGGATCAACTTGACGATGTGCGTCAGGTCCAGGCTGCGGGTGAGGATGTCGAGCAGCACTTCATCCTTCTGTACACCCTCCATGAACTCCTCCAGCGAGAGCTCACCTGCAAAAATACGGTCAGAAAAGGCTCATCGGGCCCTGCAGCCTTCAGCCTCCACCTGCAGCCTCTAAGCCAGCCCAGAGGAGCTACGGGCACGGGATGAAAAATGAGGCCCTCCCTGGGTACCATACAGCCCAAACCCCCTACAGCTAAACCCTGCCCAGCACAGATGGTGACGTGGAAGGGGAGTGGGAGCTAAACCTTGGCAGAGAGCCCAATGTCCTGCTATCTGGGGACATCCAACTTCCAGAACTCGCGGGGAAGGAGGAAGGTGAGGGCAATATTTGGCGTTGCATAAGGAAGTTCCTCACCATCTCCGTTTATATCGATTTTATCAAACACCATGTTTGTGAATTCCTCAGCTGTCATCGTATCGTTGCAGCGGTTGATAGCTCGGATGGCCTGCAGGGAGAGGAGGACACACGGAACAAGTAATGAACTTTATGCATATTTATATATCTACCAGTAAAAGTGGCTAAGTGGTCTGACATGAGAGGCCAAACTTTTTTCAGTCTTTTATGTTCTGAAAGGAATAAATGAGTCCTTTCTAAAAAAGCTGGAGATTAAAATCACTTTAAATTGCAATCAATGTATTAAAAGATTAAGTGGGCACACTGGGATAAGCTAGGAGCTGTTCACCTCTGAAAAGCCTTAGATTAAATTCAGATGCTTATCTCAGCCTGGGTTTCAGTGGATGCGGTGGAACAACAACCTGCCACCAGAAGGCAAGGGCTCGCTGCATGCCGGGGCGTGCAGGTGCCGCGGGGAGGTGCGGGGCAGCGAGGCCAAGACAGGTCCAGCGAGGGCGGCCGGTCTGCTGGGGAACCGGCAGAGGACAAGCAGGGGTTTGGCCAGTGCCTACTAATTTACCAGGGAGGTGTCTTTTGGGTTGGAATATTCCTTTTACAGCCTTTCTGTCTACCAGTGTCTAATAACCATCGTCTGGGGAAGAAAGGGAAAAGCTGAGCCCACTCACTTTGATGATGTTCAGCAGTTCTCCCCGGTCAATGCAGCCGTTCCCATCTACATCGTAGAGCTTGAAATACCATCGCAGCTTCTGATCCACCTTCCCTTTCAGGACCAAGCTCAGGGCTGCCACATACTCCATAAAGTCTATGTAGCCGTCCTGAAAGCAGAAGGTGAGAAGCTGGGTGAGATTCAGAGCTGGGCAGGGATGTTGCCGGTCACTTTTGGTAGACCCCACGGATAATGCCACTTCCCTGTATTGGGAGGGCTC